GATCTGTCCAAGGCTGACTCCAGTATACAAGGTCCACAATGTCACACAGCAGTTGATTCAGTAGAGTTGATCACTGTGTCTAAAGCATTTCAATCATTTCAGTCACACCAACGAGAGATTCTTCTTTTTCTTTACCTATATTTTCATGAGTAACCTCTTTTCGGTCCTCACTGCCTTTACTTTCTCCCACATATCTAAGTGTTACGATATTCCATTGATTACTCCTTGGGTCCTTTTACAGTTCTCTAGCTTCATTTGCTCCATTTTATTTTCACTTAAACTCATTACTTTAAAAGTCTTCATTTTGTGTATCAAAGTGACTCCAAAATCTGTGTCCCTACCTAATCTTTTCTTGTGAGCTTCCTTCAGGAAGCTGGGTTCTTGATGTGTAAACGGGATGTCTAAGGGTTACCTCAAATTTGACACAGGAAAAATAAATTTACCATCTATTTCCAATGTGCCTCTTACCAACCTATTTTGCAAGCTTTTTGCTTTTTCCTTCTTAGTTGATGGCAAGCTCATTCTTTCAGGAATGAGACTAAAATTTTAGAAATTTTCACTACCTCTGTTTTACTTTCCGAGCCCATAACAAACTGATGAAAACATCTGATTGTCAAAAGTTGTGCAGAATGCATCACTGTGCTTGTTGCTCTCTTGGTCTGACTCTGAGCCATGCACATGTCTTATCTGGGATACAACAGCCTCCTCCTGCCATTCCCATGTCTTTGTCTTCTCCAACGTACTATCCACATATCTGGGTGGTCATTTTAAGTTGAGATTGTTCACCATATATCTTATTGTGATTTTGTGTCCTTTGGTTCCCATTACTCTTTCAGTATGCAGTGAAGGCTTCCACTTTAAAGCCTGTGTCCTAGTGCTTTGCTTTACTTGTTCCATAAGTATCTAATTCATCTCCTCTAAGCCTTTGCGAAAATGCAAATTTCTATGGCCTTCTTAGTCAAACTTACTTTGCCCTCTTCCTAAGATCCCTTCTTTGTTTGTTGCACCCTTTTGTACATTGCCTTAGACGTATTAGGTGTTTATTGTTTGCAAAATCTGTTTCCACGTACTAGAATACAAGCTTTGAGAGAACAAAGATTTTTTCCCCCTGTTTTCTTCATTGGTTAACCCTTACTTCTGGAATAATATTTTCTACTCAATAAATCAATTAGGTAGAAGAAATGCATAAACGAGAAGAAAGCAAGTTCTGGAATATAGTCTCCTTCTAGAAGCCTAAACACATTGACAGTGGTAGCGTCGGTGTGGTACATATTTAATCAGGGCAAAATGAATGCCTATGTTGCTAAACGACCAACCAAATACAATATAAAGTTGTGAAAAAGGCTCTTGTGTAGAATTCAGGTTAGATAAGGAAGAGACTATTAAACACAACATATAAAATTGAAGTGTTTTTGATAATCAAGAACAAAACGTTCAAAGTATAAGAAATTGTACCAAGGCCATCTGTAAAGTCAGTGATCTGTACAGTAAAAATTGTGTTCAATTAAAAAGAAACGTGAACATGTCTCATAACTGAATACATGAAACTGAACTGTGTATTCATCTTAGAAAAGCTAGGTGATGAACATCTTACAATGCAGGGGATATACGAGGCCACACAACTCCAGAGTTTATACGATCCAATCAATTTCTGGATTTCCTAGCCACCCTATTCCTCCTTATTATTTTAATTACCTAACATTTGACCACTTTCCTGTCATTTATTTATTTGTTTGTTTTTGTAACTCTTGTAAGAGAGCAACCAAGAGAAACCAAGGGAAATTTAGGCAAATTAAAAATACTCCTTGGCCGCAACCCATGGGCACACTTTGGGAATTTTATACCGGATCTCAATATATAAGTCATATACTATTAACAGTATTCATTTAAGTAAGTACTGAGCAAGTCAGTGAAAACTGATAACTTTGGCTGGTCCCAGCTGGAAGTAACGGCTAAGCCTCAGTGAAGCATTGACAATTCATCAAAGGAGACATGATGGTCTCGATGTACAAAGACAGAAGAAAGAGACAGAGAAAGAATGCAGCTATAATGCCTTTGCTTCAGAAATCTTGCACATAATTTATCATAATGGAAATTCGCCGATATAACCCAGAACTAAAGCCACACCTGACAGTGCCATTTACTCCCAGTAAAAAGTCTTCATTTCTAATTTCTCTACATCGATTTCCTAATTTGCAAAAGAGATAGTAAGACAGAATTCTGATACAGTTATTGTGACAATTAAGTGAACAAATTATGCCAAATGCTAAAAGCGAAGGTCTGTCTTCCATAGTCCAATTCTAGTTTCTATCGTGTTATCTCCTCTTTGTCCAAGTGTGGCATTAATTTCATTTTAAGAATGCATTCTTTCTTTAAACTCTGCAAGGATAAATCTTGAAGAAATATCTATAGAATAATTATGTATGACTAAAACTGTCACGGGAAACGTAAGGAGAGATGAAGAAGTGTAACTGGGTTCTGTTTTAAAACAAGAAGCAGCCTCTGGATAAACATGCACATTCTTCTTTAATATGCACAATAATATATTACAAAAGACCTCTAAAAATTACAGCATAGTGTCTGTCAGTGGAAAAAGAATGTTTTCTTGATTTTACACATACCAAAGTACATAACACTTTCTTCTTTGTAATTACTTGAAAGCAATTGGCATGAGAAGAGGTTCTTTTTTTCATTCATTACTCCCTTCAATAATATGTATCTACTAGTGGCAATTATTAAATATTTCTGATTAAGTACAGCACTCACATTTTGGTGTGTACTTAGCACAGGTGTAGGGGGTCTATCTCTGCAAGCGACCGTTTAATTTAAGTAAGGTAAATAATAGGAAGTCACAATTTCATTACCATCTATCTGAGGCAACACAACTATTGCTACAGTTCCTAAGCCCTGATTTATAAACCTTTGGAATTCTGAAGAATTTCTCTTTCATATGCATCATATATTACTAAATAGATAAAATAATTTCTAATACAACTTCTTGAAGTGAACAGAATATAACCATCATGGTACAGATGAAAAGAAAGGTTGCTTTTAAAAAATTCCACTGCTTTATTTGTAAACCAAATTCTACACTCATTTTCTTTTTGCTTACTTAAAAAATACTACTGGTATAGAAAATTGCAGTTAAACTGTTCGTTATTTCGACTTTGAAAAAAACAAAAATAGCTAATAAATGACCAGAGCTTATTTAATAATAATAGTTTATACTAAAATTACAACCAGAATAATTTTTTAAATGGTTAACTAATGATGTAAAAAAAAAAAAAACAGTTTGGACTAAAAGCCACAGTGGTATAAATGAGCATCTATAAAGATGTCCTTGTTTCAATTATGAATCAATTCATAGTTTGCCCAGGTGGAATGTATGGCCTACATACATTCCTTCCCAATTTCCTTATAAGTAGAAACAACAATAAAAAAGTAAAATTATTTTCCTAACAATTACTTTTTGTTTGAAATTAGTTGAGATAAAAGGTCACTTTCCCACACGCACTAGCTTACCTTTTGGTGCCCTTATCTTTTTGTTGATCACACATATTTTTATGCATTATGCTGCATTTTGCATTCTTCAACATCTTTATTTATGACTTTGTGAATCAACATCTTTGTGCTAGGAGGGGAAAGTCACTTAGCTAATTATACATACTTGATAAGCTGCATAATAATAACTACAATATTGCATATTTGTGGAAGCTTATAAATTACTCCAGCTCTTCTCAACTGTTTAAGAAGAAGCATTTTTTGTTCTCGTTTAAAACATCTTTGTTGCCTCCACATCCATCTTGCTAGCTACACTATGCTTTTAGCCCAAATTGTACCATCAATTAAGAAAAAAAAGGAGATTTAATCCCATCCTATAAGCATACCAAAGAAATAGAGCAAAATGAAAGAGTCAGTTTAATATAGACTGTAATCTGCAGGTGAGAATTTTGTTATATGAAATCTCTCCTATACGATACAACCTAAATATAACAGAACGGTTTGAACACTCCCTGTCACACAAGGATGTTGTAATGAAATCTTAGCCAAGCCAGAAGTTTAGAAACACATAGAGAGACTGTATAACACTAGAATGTTAATGTGACTTCTGCATGAAGATTGGAAATTCTACAAAGGTATGGATAAGGTCAAAATAACACTTAGACCATTTACCACTGTAGAAAAGCATACTCCTTATTAGTGATTTACTGAATGTTGTATAAAAATCGGGTGTGGATGAGCTGCATTCAGCAGCAGGCTTGTAGCTGTCAGTGTCCACCTTTGCTAAATCTGACTAGAAGATGATTTCAAGGTTGATATAGTTGTAGCTTCTAATTCATGTTCTTCCCTATGTTTTAAATTGTTTAACATAAATATAAAATCTTTAGAGTGCTTTTAGGTCTGTAAATAGCATAAAATGTGCAAAATCTCATTCTTTTCGGGATAAATATCTGCAAGTAAAAAGACTGTGTAGGAAGCAGCATCACTATTTAGTAAAGGTAATCGCTCAACAGCTATGGCAAATTTACCCTGATGATGAAAAGTTTCATAGGAAATTTAATAGGAGATAAGAACAACATGCAAAAGATGAGGTTTGTGGCTCAGCTGATCAATTCTATGAGGTACATGAATGTGTATCTGTAGAAGAGTTCAGACATCAAAGCTGCCCACTGGATAGGGCAGCATTGATTCTAGTCCTTGCAGGCAACATGAGAACCTAAGTATTTTCTCCGCTATATGCAAACTCAAAGTAGAAATTCATCTTCTGTCGACACTCCCAGAACTAGCACACAAAGGCAAATGTCATCTACTTGGCGATGTCATCTACTCAGCCAGAGCTCTCTTTGACCATCTTGCTATTTCTTGAGAAGCTTCACCACATTCTACATATCACCTAACCATCCACTTTCCAGCATCAGCAAATCATCTTTTAGGAGAGAGTCTTGTTCTTCCTCTCCAAGATTTTTCCCCCATTTTTTGATTTCCACTTTTATACATACCTCCTTTTCTACATATTTTCTTGCCGGGTTTTCTGGCACATTCCTTGGATATTCTTTTTACTGAAAAATGAATAGAAGACTAGAAAATAACATGGCGCTCCATCACAGACCGCCGGAACATGCAACACCACTAACTTAAATGCTCCTGCATTTACTGAGTGCGAAAGATCCCCATTTCGTTGAGCCTGCACATGCAATGAGGAAATGTTGATGCATCTTCTCAGAAGTCATTTGGTAGGAAATGGAAATTAGGAACCCATTTCTACCGAAATATACGTGCTGTGGAGGAAAGAAAATGAGTAAACACAGGAAAAAAACAACAGATACACTGACACACGGAAAGAAAAAAAGAGCAGCATGCACGCATGTAAAATATGTCTACATGCCAACAGGAAAAGCCATGCATACTACCAGTACACATGAATTAATACTGTTAGCACTTAGAGTAGAAAATAAAGCTGTAAATATATCTCCTTGGTTTTTTTCTGCAGTAAACTCACCATCCTCAGTTGGGACATAAATGTTTAAGTACAGGCAGTCTTCACTCTGGTCTTGTACATATGATGAAACTACATCCAAGTTATTAGTAAACCACACAGGAAGCATGACTTCTGGCAGTCTTCCATCAATGATGTTCTGAGGACACACAGGAGCAAATTGCGTGGCATTCTTGACGTCTGACCAGGGAGAAGGTGGTTCAGGAGGCTGAAAACGATGTTCTCCTGTTGGTGGGGCTGCATATGGAACCCCGAGAAACTGAATAACAGGTCCCAAAATCTCATTATTTAGTTCTTTCTTAATCCCTCTTATCTTGCCAAAATTGGTAGTCACCAAAGGGTCCATATCATCCAACTTTTGCGAGAGCACATGAGCAGCCTGAGGCAAACATCCCAGCATAAAGAGAGTCAATGAGGCACCCACTCCCCCATGTACCAAGCATGACATCACTGCTCTCCAAACATAACTTGGCCGTGTGCATCTGGGAGGTGCCATGGTCCCACATTAGTTGCCTCCTTCTCTTGTTTCAGGCAGGAAAATGTATGTATATCCACTTGAGAAAGACCTTACAGTTGCAAAATATGCCTCCAGTTGCTCAAACGTGAGCTTGCTGACAAGAGCTCAGCAAGATGTTTACACAGCGAGTATTTCCTACTCTTTTCCAAGGTGGTGAAGCAACATCTTCAATCATCACCATTTACTACACCACTTTCTATTGACCATTCTCTTTTCCATAGTAGCAGAGTGACAAAAATGGCCATTGACTGTAGATTTCCCTTCTATAAATCAGACCCAATTATCCGGAGGTCTATCTCCTAGAGAAAATAAAAAGAAACCATTAGTATGAAAAGCTAAAATAGATAACTAGGTATTTTATAAGCCAGCAAAATACATTAACAGAGGCTAGACACAGGCAAGTACTATAGGAAAATTATGGTTTGATGGGAAGTGACAGATCAAATAACTGAGTGTTGGATTATTGAGAAACTTGCCTGCTGACTTTATATATATTTAAGTGGAGGCAGGCCATGCCAAAATACATGGTTTCAGAAAAACTCACAGTAAATTATTTTTAAATGTAGAAGGTTATGTGTGAAATTTTTCTTTTATTGAATCTTCAATCACTTCAACTGACTGCAGGATTCATCAACAAACCTAGCCCAACCTAGAATCTAATAGAAAATCTTCAAAAAATACTTGCTAGTGAAACATACACAAATGCTTTAAGAAGTATTATATGTTGAAAATAAACAAAAGACTTCCCAAAACTATACTTCCATATATACAGAAAACACACATAAAGTGAGAACAAGAAAATTAAAACAAGTTCAATCAGCCGTCATTTGATTAAGTGCAACTCCCACATAATTTCAATGCCCATGCCATCACTTACAAGTTTACACAAAATATTGCTCACAGATTCTGCAATTTCAGTTGAGACTTAACATACTTAAAGAAGAGCATGCCTTTGGACACAACTTTAAAAACAAGGAGAATTTGGCATCACCTTTTACAGAGTTATTTTATCCTCTAGCCGCAGATTATAGATATCATAACTGTCATGTGAAATTCTGAGTCAAAGTCAATGTATTTCAAATGACAAATTTTGTCTCCTTGTTTGGTAGAGATCAAAGGAAGAACACAAAGAAAGAGTATGGTAATTTAAAAGAACAATCACAGCTAATTATTGCATTGTGCATATTTATACTAATCAAATATCTAACATTGTTGACTCGGTTCGACTTAAAGTGCATCAGAATAAGATTAGCATTCAGTGCAATGCGATTCACAGTATAATCTTACATGAAGCGCCAAATAGCACACAGCTCAGAAAATGTGTCTCCTCTTATTCAAGCCAGCTTTTAACATGCTTACTTTGAAAATACTAGCATTGATATGCACTAGAGATGGTTTTATCCTCTCATAGTATGGGAAGACTCCTGAGGAAGCACTGCTCTGTGTTAGGATGGCCCTGACTCTGCTTTATTTTACAGGAGATTTTAAAAACTATATAGGGAAGCAGGAGATTTGGTTCCGACATGGGGTTTCTTGAGCTCTGTCCAATCCATCACAAAAGCAATAAAAGGATCCATGCCCTTCTTCAGGCATATTTCAGTCTTTGTGAATCATACGCGTTTGCTGCAAAAGTCATTAACATACCTAAGACAGGCCTACTCCCATTCAAGACCAAGCTACACAAACCCATTTCTGTAACGGATGTGTTCTGTGGATTCTGTAGGATCACAGTGGGCCACCACGTGACCGGGTCTTCCTTGATGGCCCTTTGCTCTTTGAAGAAACTTATCCTGACACCAAACAATGAAGAACTGTAGGTGAGATCTTACAGGTGTCAAAAATCATTTTTACCTATTTTAATTTCCAGTACAACACTTTGCAAAATTTCTTCTTCACATAACTAAAGCCTTATTAGTAAAAAAAAAAATTGGTTATTTGCTAGCAAAAGAACTCGTCTTTCAAAACTCTCAAATCCTTAATTATTATAAGAATAAAGAGGCTCTTGTTTTGCCCGACTGTGCTATTTTAATACAAGTTGTAGCTGATTGGAGCTCTTCTTGCCATGTTGAATGTTAGGATTGTAATGAAGTTTGGCTCCTGATGTTATGAAATGATCCCCTTTCACATGTTTTTAGGTGTGGAGAACTGATACATTGACCCAGGAAGATTTTTCAACAGCCTTCATTAAAATTATGAGTCATTCAAGTCTAATGTGAAAGATACAGCTTGATCAGATTACTGGGAAAAAGAAAATATATGGGTTTACATGTAGGGACCCTCGGACCGTTCCCTCTGTTTACTGCTTCTTCCTTAGTATGTGTCAAGCCTTTCACATATTTACATCTCTGAGTAACAACTGTATTAAAACACGTTTAACTCGTATCCACTGGTACTTCTGAGGAAGGAAGACTCGATGCAGTAAAAACACTCTGGCGACAGGCTCTCCGGTAACCGTGAGCTGACCCAGGAGCCCATAGCTATCTGCATAGTATAGACTCTCAATGGATGGCTGCCACTGTTTAAGGATCAATCGTAGTGCGTTTTAAATTGGACTGTCAACGTGTTCTAGGCTTGTTCAGAAGACAAAGACTAGGTGAAGTCTCTGACAGCTTCACCAAAACAGAGTAATGAAATGATCCACACTATTTTTACTGAAACTTTAGATTTTAGTTTCTTACTATGAGATCTCCCTTACTGTAGCAATTCTAAAGGTAGCTGTTACACAAAGATCCTGTTAAAACAGACTTGTATAAGTATTATTTACTTTTCATTAAAAAAAATCATATTCTATGACAATTTCAGTATCTCTTAATGAACACTGAAAAATGAATCCTGATGTATTCATGAACTTAAATTGTAAAAATCATTAAAGGGTCTATTACTAAAATATCAATATAAGTCTCAATTTTTGAACAAAAGGAGTCCAAGTATATATATAATAAGATACTATTTAAATAAGATATGATTTAAAAACTACATTGAATACATAACTATATAGTGACCTCATAGCTTTCATCCCTAGTTAAAGAGAAAATGAAGGGAATGCATTCTAGGGATTAATTGACTAGGATGGTAACCTGTGGTAAGGTCTTAAAAGGTCAGCAAAGTTGAACAAAATCTCCATATTTGAAAGTGTTGAATGATACACACATATGCCACACATACTCTCTTTACAGAACTCTCCTTATGCTTGAAATATAATTCCTCTATTTTTCTAATTTAAGCATGTACGGTTTCACAAAAAGACAAATGAGTTTTAAAGGGCCCTTTTAAAAAGGCAAAATATATGGTACTATATTTTGTCTCTTGCATTAATTCATCAGTAGAGTTCCTCAGCTAGGCTGTTCATGAGTGGTCTAATTAAAGAGTAAGGGAATTGTCTGGGATATTAGGCAGTCACTGTAAATGGCCATGTTCATCCAATCTCTCATTCATTCAATATTTGTTGGATATTTACAATGTGCAACTAATGTGATAAATAATTGGAGCATTTGGGCTTTGTGTTCAATAAATACATAATGACCAGGGGAGTGAGGCTCAGCAGGAATGCCTCTAACTGTAGGTAGGTGTTTATGCATTTAAAAAAAACTTTCGATTCTCTGTTGTATTTGTTTTATCATTTTTTCTTTTAGTTATGACATTTTTATTACAGAATTCTCTATTTGACACCAAGTAGTGTTTTCAAGTGTAAACGTGCTTTAATATCTTTATTTTCACCATAAAATCTACATAAAAACTGTTCACCTTATGCTTCACCTTATGCAAACTTGACTATATCTAAAAAGATTTACATTGACTACCAGAGCTGCCCGGTCTGATGTTACGTGTTCTAAGAAATCACTGCAAACACTAAATTAGGGAATATACTTCTTTATTCTAGGGATATATATATACATATATATAATATTTATAGATAAATAAATAGATAGAAATTCTTTAAACAAGTCATCCTTGAATTTATTTTTCCTACATTAAAATATTACTGAGAAGCCTATGCCTAAGGCTACCTCACGGACAGGTGTCAGGTGGATTTGAACAGCCTCTTTCCCTGGCCCCTCTGTGGAATTCCTTGTACTGCACTGAGCTGCCTGCGCTGAGTCCATTCTGCTGTATAGCTGAAGCAGGGATGCAATATTGCTCAAACAGACAGAAATATGTGAGAGCAGCTCACATCTTACACTGCATGGGTTTTATCTGTGTAATGACTGAGAAAAGGCCGAATTTAAAGCTATAAATAATTGCTGATGATTATGTACATTTGCAAATACAAAACCAGGAAGCACAAAACCGGGAAGAACAAGTGTGATAACCAGAGAAACATTTTTTCTGCTTATGGATTGTGAGATGTTTGAAAGTCATTTCACATCAGTTGTCAATAATGCTTACTAATGATAACTGTACTCGCTAATTTGATGTAGTAATGACAATTTAACAAATGATTTGATTTAATAATAACTGTGTGACTGTTTTCAATGGCTGAGACTGGCTCTGTAGCTGAAATGTATCTAGAGGACCAGCTCACTGCAACAGAACATGACCACCTGCAGATCTGCGGCTTCCTGTATTGAAGTGTTTCACGCTGGTTATGGTTTAGGACTTTCAGGCACAGAGAGTCCTGTGCAGCCTGACAATGGGAGAACAAAAAGTTATGAGCATGACATTCTCAAGACTGTGTAATGCATTATTCTTCCCCTCTGGTTACTGCCATCTATTCCCCTATATTCTATGCCTATTAGGCTGCTGTCCAATATCGATGAACTATTTGGGTTCCTTCAGCAACTAAAGGAACACTTCAAGCCATGAATGTGTAACTCACAAACTAAGCAATTCCAATGTGATGAATAAACATATGATAATACAGTCATGCAAGACGTTTTTTGACTCTCAAAGAAGGGACAGATCAACCTCCAGGTAAATGGCTAGAAAAGAATTCATGAATCAGAGGGACTTTTGGATGCATCTCAATGAGTAAATAATTAGTGCAAACATTCATGATGATAGAATAACAACTTAGAGGAGCCACTCCAAGCTACATGGCTAGAGTGCAAACTGGCAGAAGGAGGAGTTAATTCAGCATCTCTCACTTTCTTGCAAGTATTGCCCTTTGTGGTACATCCCGATAGAATTTGTACACACACAAACCTCAATCTAAATGCCTTATTCTTTGTGCGAAATATGACTTATGACATAAGGGAAATAAAATGCCTTATTTAGGGAATGCACAGCCTAGTTTGGCTAGAACACAGAGTCCTTTTACGATGACCCTTGAGTAGTGAGGTTTGAACAGCAGTGAGAGCCA